GTAGTGGTTGCCCGAATTTTAAGTCAAAGTGAAGTCATACAATGAGGTATCGCTTTGCATGACGGTAACTTTTGAAGGTATTGTAATCTGTCTGACTTCCTGACTCCCTCGGCCCGCGTGTGAACGGTTTGTTTACCCGCACTGCGGTTCGAGACAAAAGAACGCTAGTCGTTTCCAGACCGGGGATAGAGGGACTTTGCTCTAGTAAACTGATTGCTCGTCCTGGGATCTTGTGGTTGCGCTTGCTGGTGCAATAGTCTGTCAGCTATGTCGACGACGAGCGTTGAATGATTAATTTAACACGTTAAATAAAGATATTAAAAGAAATTTAGTTTTGACTATATTTAATTTAATTGATATATTTATGGCGCTACATGGATACACTCCAATTTATTATAAAATATTTATAAAACATTTACCCTTCATCCAAATCTAAAAAAGAGGCTTTCATTGGCTAAGCCATTTAGTTACCTATGTGTTTGCGGGTTCCTTCGACCATTGGTCAAGTTACTGCAATGCATGCGAAAGATACACCAAATGATGTGTTGACATTTCTAACTATTTTATATAATCACATGCATGACATTATGCAACGTAGTTTATACTTGTGATGTGACAACAACATTCACCGAACAGTACGTAGTTTGTAGTTTACAATTGCTCCCATGTGCCAACAGAGAAACATGATCGGCACGCCTGTATTACATTATAAAAGTGAGTCAACACTACTGCGCATGTTCGTGGTGCTTAACTATACTCGAGTTGAAAACAACAACAACAACCGTTAAATAAACGGAAAGAAACACACAACACTTACAAAGACACCGCACCAAATAGGAGCTCCTAATTCCGAGATATAGCATTCTATGATAATAGACGCAATTCCAAGAGATATAAGAATGACACCGAGCGATATCTGTAGGGCTCCGCATGTCACAGCCTTGGTCTTAAACTCATCTAGACTTATCGGATCTAGTGACACCGTGTCATGTGAGCGCTGTTGTGAATTAGATGGGACGGTTCCTTGTGGCGAATCTGTAATCGTCAGCTGCATAACACACGCTGTAATAATATAAGGGTGGCAGGTTATTTTCAAGTCAAGCTCGACACGGGTCAAGACGACCATTCAATTTCCGGTGTGTGAGTGCTGTGTAGACTTGCATACAGTCTTCAGTTTCTGCTGTTGTTTGTTTTTCCGTGTTTTTGTCAATAAAATAAATTATTATGCGAGTGTATATATGGCCAAGGCTTACGTCAGTATAAATGTATGTTATTATACAAAGGGGCTGTATATAGGTCTACATGTTATGTTGTGCGTTATATGAGTCTACGCTGTGTATTATAGCCAGCGCCATGGCGTGGGAAGGAAGTAACGAGAAAATACACTTCCTCGGACGAACTAAGTTGCATTATTATAAATATTGACGCCGTGCGCCACTCAGACCTTTACACCCATCGGCAGCCATGGCAATAATCCTACACTTCGCCACAGGTGTATGTACACCTCTCAGCCGACGTCGAGTTACGGACGACAATAAGCCTAGAGTTTCTTATCCTATGTAGGTGCTAGCTAGTGTTGCGTAACATGATCCACACTCAATAGAATAGAATAAAATGAACAAAATACGTGCCTACCTCAGACAAGAACTGTTACCGTGTGTGAGACTGTGATGATAGTAAAGGGTATGCTGGAAAACGAAACAACAGAACAACTACACACGGAACACCGCACGTATCACCGCAACCCAAATGTGCAGTCAGACGGATTAGTGTCCTGTCATATTCCGAATCACTGCGCACATGTATACGCACGTTCGTATACAATATAATTATTCAAAAGCCCGACTGACTAGCGTATTGATAATTATGTATTCATATTCGATTTAATAGTTACAATACGTTTCTGTCACACATTCATCACGGCACAGAAAAAATAACCACTGCGTACATTTACTGCTTTTTAAACTATCGTAAGTTGGGAGACGTTTGTAATTACGACAGCAGCGAATACATTTGTATGTGAAGCACGTACATTTCGATAATGACCAGCGAACTGGAGTGTTGCTCAAGCCGCGAATTCAAGATATTTAAAGGGCGACAATCGTCGTGCCGCGTCCTGTTCGATATGGGACTCATAGCGACGTATACAACGCGTGTAAAATACATTGTTTTTTTACATGAAATTCGAACACGCGCTGCGCGACGACCACCGCGCTTTAAATTTGATAATTATTATGTTCAGAGTAACTTTTTTTAATCGAGCTTATGTCATTACGCGTAAAATACGCTACGGGGGATATAGAATACATTTAGCAACGTTTGCAATAATGACGATGGTTTCATTGCGTATCTGTTAATGAAAAATATTAATTAATTATAAAAATTTTAACATTGCGGATGCATATTTAAATATTATTTGAAAAATTACCCATCAGCCCTCATCTCGGATCAGATCACGGAACACATGCTCGTTTTTCTCGTAGCCATCGGAAGTACATGTATCCCACTGATAAGAATGTTTGCTAACACAATAGACAGACACATTTACAAAATACATGTCTCATAGAAAATAAACTGAAGTTCACGGGGGGGGGGCAATATAAACCTTACCTACTTGTAAAATACGACGTCCACTGTCGCACAACTCTGTATATCTCGTTTACAAACTTCAATTAGACAGCATCGAGCCAATGAGTGTTTATTGTTCAGTATATATGACGAAGAACTATGTGACCTTTGACACAGAGTTAAAACGTTTGGTGTCGTCATCATTTGTCCCATGGCGCCATTACGAGGGTAGCTTTTTTACTTCCTTATACTACACTGATACTAGTAGATAACAATTTGGAGTGAGCTAGATGCAGCGTATGTCTGACTGATATGAATCAAGAACCTGCGCCGATGCGTAGACGGGTTTTGGTGAGTTTACCTACATTACGACTTCGTCACATGCACGCGGGATGGGTGACTATACTGACACGTCTATGCATACCGAAACTTTCTGTTTCCTGTTTGTGGTATGGTATTCAAGTTACGGCCAATGACATTTTTTCTAAGTTTTACGTCCTTCTGCCAATAAACTATGTCGTTTTTTTACGTTATACGCAAACCTGCTCTAATAACTTGTTTGATTATGTGATTTGTTTCTTGTAACTTGCAATGACTCAAAGTTGGCTTTTTATTGATTTTATTCTGAATCATAGTTACAATGTATGGTGGTAATCTATTCATTATTTGATATATATTGCTCATAAACTCTTTCCGAGGTATTTTTTTCATTGCAGATGTGTTTCGCTCAATAGTTTTGATACTGTTTTTTTTTTAATTATGTTGTCAGTAGAACAACTTGTTAACATGTCTATCACTTTTTCAAAATGTGTCGAGTAAAAGTTCTTTTCAAAGTGTTGTGATAATAATGACTTTTAAAATGTGTGTAAAATATTTTTCAAACATTATTACATTATTTTTAAATGTGAATCTAGCACAAGAGTATGTAATTATACAAAGAACGCGTACCGGTAGTTATTAATAGTTTTTATGAGGTGAGGAAGGAAGATTAAGGAAGGCCAAGGTTGCCAAGGATGGCTGAAACAATCTCAGTAGTAATTTTCTGGTAGCTACGTAAGCGCAAGTAGCTTTTCAATTCCCGTTTGGAAAGTATTTGTGTCAATGTTTCTTTCTCGGGAATCTTTTCCAAGCATTTGAAAGTGTGGCAACTATTATTTTAAATGTTGTGAGCGTAATTCCGGGGATCGTAGTTATTCTTATATAGTTATCACCATTGCCGATGAACAGCAGCATGTTACGAATCTCACTGTTCTGCTGGTCAATGCTTACGATGTCATATATTATAGTAAAGCATATAACCGCATTGACCATGTACTGTTCTTACATTAATCAAGTTGTTTTAAGTATCCACTCGGACGCCTTAAATTTCTCATATAGAAAGCAGCGTGTTGTGTTTAGATGTACTCAGTCATCGATCAGTACATACAATGTTGTTTATTTTTAGAATCACTTTTATTTATTATATACATCAATGATATGCCCAAGTTTGCATCGGGCAATATTTGTTAATGATGAAAGTGAAATTAAAGTTTTATCTGATACATAACATTTATATGACAATTCTTGTCGTCACAGTTACTCAATATATCACTGATAAATGCAAAAGCGCGTTTCACGTTTGAAAAGTACTTCTACAAAAAAGTCTAGGCCTCTTAATTTAATTCAGTATTGTAGGACTTAATGATTGAATGGCCGCCTTCAGAATCCTTCTTTTAATGATCTGTGATTTGTTTCCCCATTTGTTTTAAATTTTAATTGTTTGTTTTGTATTTTGATATATTCTGTAGTATTTGTAGAATGTTCGCATCTGTATATAACTACTTTGTGTACCGATGATGAGATAGCTTTTTACGGATTATGTGTAGGTTTAGTAACTTTAATTATAGTGTGCAATAATAATAATAATAATACCTTTATTGACATTATTCATTTTGAATAGAACATACTCAAATACTATTCTAAGAAACAAAACAAAAATAACAATAGATGAAAATAAATATACTGTTGACACTGGTTTAGAATATGGCACTTTCGTTAATATAAACTGCCAGTTCTATATATATATGTTGCCCATAATTTATATAAACCTTGCTTCGTTATCTAACATATTGAAAAGCTGATTTGAGGTTTGTGCTGATTGAAATAGTCTCATTCTTGCTTCTTTGTATTGTGGACAATCAATTTAATTCACACCTGGGTATGATGTTTCATCTAAGTAGCATATCGCCCTCTATATTCACCAACTGTGTTTCACTTGTTTTTGTCCCATTTGTATTGGTACGTGCTATTTATATTTGTGAAAATTTTGACGAAATCACATCATCATATTTTGAACAAATTCGTTTTGTGCAGGGGATAGCATGCTTTTATTTCAAGATGATTAATTAAATATGGTACTAGAGAAACTATTCTTTTAAAATACTATTAGAAATTTAGTGTATAACCTTTTTACAATGGCGGATGTGCACACAAGGCTGTGCTCAATCAGGTCAGGGGTCAGTTTTGGCATAATTTGAAAGTACTATTGCGGTTGATTCAGATTTTGAATAATACCTGCTGGAATTACAAAGATCACTATTTCAAGGCATGTATGTATGTTTTTCATTTGTATCAATATTGATTTAATTTGAAATTGATTAAATTCATAGTAAATAAACAAACGGATTTGTACTCAACTAATGATTATTAATATGTTTGATTGCTTTATATCCTCGAGAATGATTAATGTAAACACAACACGTTGTTTTAGTAACGCTTGATTGAATATTGAACAACGCAACCACGCATGTGCGTTGAAATAATATACGGAATACAGTAATTCAGAGGGCATGCCAAGCGCTTACTAGTGTGTTTAGAATAAAGCTGGGGAGTCGTCACCTGCGCATGCGTGAGATGGCCATAGCGTGTCATTGTTTACAAACAAGCGTCTACCCATGAGCCTTTGCGTTTTTAGCGTGTGTTATTATCATCGCTTGGGACTAAATTCCCGCGCGTGCGCAGGTGACGACCCTCCCGCTTTAACAACACTATAGCCCATAACACAACAATACTTATTGTTACCTATTTAAAATGTAAACTGTTTATCGTTTTCCAGTGAGACATTTCATCTATAAGTGCCAAGTATTACGATGATACAAGTACAGCCTGTGCAGACAAGTAGTAATGGTCTGAGACATGGATTTGCTCATAACACTGTTATGGGACTTGGTATAACGCAGATATTTATTGGAATAGCGTGCCTGGCACTAGGAATTGTCACTCTTCTCGAAAAGTGTGCAGTATATCAAATCAGTGCGCCTATTTGGTGCGGAGTGTTTGTAAGTATGTTTTAAATGTCCACCAAGGATGACAGGATGCTGAATTACACGAAAAATTTACGTAGAATATATATGCGCCATTGTTGACAAAATTTCGCAATTAACTATGAAATTATTTAGTGTGAGTAAGTTCTTAATAAGAAAATGAAAACATGAAAAATGAAAGGTAGCAATTTTTAAGCCAGATATCGTGTTTTTCTAGGATCACGACCCATCCTTTACTACCATTTGTTTGATGGAGTATTTAATTACGCAAATGCTTCACCATTTTGAATTAAGAGCACGAACCAGTTATTCAGTAAACATGCACATCGGTTAACTACTGTCATCAACCGAATCCTTTTGATTTTCCTGAAATTCAAATTTGTACATCTCAAAATTGCAACCGTGGATATACTCATTCAATTACTTCATGTTTTTTTAGTTTCTTATAACAGGTGTCATAGGATGTTTGTCATCTCGCAAGAAAACAAATGCTACAGTAAGTTTTAAAATATAGTTTGATATTGTACTTGTTTTGTCTCTGAGTAGATTTCCCGAACTCGATTATTCATACAAATTTACAAATATTTAATACGCTATATATAAAATGTAATAATATTAATCATAATTATATCATAATCATACCAACCCAATACATAATAATCGTTAACCTCATAACACCATCCCCAAAATTAAATAACAATTCACCAAAATATAAACCAAAATGTACTAAACATCAATGCTTAACACAATATGTACATTATTCGTAAATATCATATTTTTCTCATTGATTGTAAGACGATTTAGTTCTTGGATGAAGGTACATGATTTTGTGTACACCGATCCAAAAACCACTCTATTCACAGAGCCCAACAAAAAATATGGTGTTGCGAAATTTCTATATTCTATTT